TCGTACACCAAAGCGGATGGTAGCAAGAAGTGAGCAGCTAAATTAGCATTGAAATTTTGATTTATTTCTCAACATTCTATTCAACAGAGTTATTGCCACCTCTAAGTTTGAGCCAACTTATGCGCGTCAGGCTTTCCCCTGTTTCGATGAGCCAGCCATGAAAGCAACTTTCTTAATCACTTTAGTGTATCCCAAGGAAGGTGATTACCATGCGCTCTCCAATATGGATATTTCGGTAGGGGAAATGTTGCAGTTTTTCACTTTACTTTCAATATTTTTTTCCGTGAAATTTGTTTTACACCTTTCAGCGTGAAGCCGATCAGGGTAACTACGTGGAGGTCTTCTTTAACCAGAGCGTGCCGATGAGCACTTACTTGGCCTGCTTCATTGTTTCGGACTTTGCAAACAAATCGACAACCATCAATACAAATGGCATTGGCGAAAACTTTACTCTGCGCGCCTTTGCGACTCCTGAACAACTTGATAAGGTTGATTTTGCGCTGGAAGTTGGCCAAACGGTTATTGAATACTACATTCAGTACTTCCAAGTGGAATATCCATTGCCAAAGTTGGGTAAGCATTGTTGAAACTACTACAAAGAGTTCAAACCGCTTCGATGAACTGTCTTAAAAAAAATATATATATATTTCAGACATGGCTGCCATACCAGACTTCGTCTCTGGTGCTATGGAACATTGGGGTTTGGTCACTTATCGTGAAACCACATTGCTTTATGACGAAAACGTCAGCTCAACGGCAAATCGGCAAAATATTGCGAGTGTTATCGCTCATGAATTTGCGCATATGTGGTTCGGGAATTTAGGTAATTTAACTTTAGATTTTATTGATTGCTTAGTTATTGCGGTATTGATAAACTCAGTAATACTAGTTTTATGGGTTGCTTTCTAAGTCATAAATTTAATAATTTATCAAAGGACTGGTGGTGCTTTTAGGGCTTATTGAGTGAGCATTATCCGGTTTTGTGAAACTTGTATGCTTATGTACTTACATACATATATGGGTTATACATATGTGTGTGTGTGTGTGTACTTCTGTAGGCGCTCAGTGCTATAATATGTATATACGATTATTTTATAGTCTTCTCAACTATTTGAGCTTTTAATATTTGTGTCCGTACAATGTTTAACTGATTAACATTATTGTTTCTATAGTCACGATGGCTTGGTGGAACGATTTATGGCTTAATGAGGGTTTTGCGAGCTACATTGAATACATAGGCGTTGAGGCGAAGTTTCCTGAATGGAAAATGGTAAGTAAATTCATTAAGTTCGTATAAAGTAAATATTTTAAGAATGTCGAAAAGTCAAATACTTACAAATTGTTGTCAAAAGTCCGTCAAGGCAACGAAGAATGATTTTATTTTGATTTTGTGTTGATTTTTTGGATATGAAGAACTTTTTTTTCTGCCCGAATTAAACACTAACACCTTGGATAGCTCTCACACCATATATCGCCCACGATGGCTTCCCTGAAGGAAAGATTGGTCGAAAAATACAATCGCAGGTATAGTAGTTTTGTATCTAGGCCAAAGATAGTCCAACAAATTCAAGCAATGTAATGAAAAGTAGGTGAATTGTACTAAAGGTGGCCCGAATGTAATGCAAAAAGTATGAGTTTTTATTTAAAATTGGTTACAAACCGGAAAATCGACCCGAGCCTAGGACACTCAATTTTTAGTGTAAATAGAATTTATGCATGGACCAAACTTTGGACTACTTACATTCACCTACAATCTGGTTTGTGGTGTGCTCTAAGTTTAGTGTTAGATCCTACAGGGTTATTTACGTACTACTTATTTAATCCTACCAATGTTATAAATATGAAAGATTGTGAGTAAATGTGTTAGTATGTTTGTTACTATTTCACGCTAAACCGGTCGAACATATTTCAATGAAATTCGCCACACAGATAGGTTATAATCTGGAAGAATATACATATAGGATATTTTTCAAAAGTTAAGTAAATTATGTAATTAAAACGTAAAAAACAATATAAAAAAAATGTGGCTTTCAAATGCATGAAGAGTTCAATAACGAGTTGCATAAAAACAAAATTTAAGAGGGTTAACAGCTATTCAAAAAGTGTAAGTCAAATAAATTAAATATTTTAATATGGGTCGCGAACATATTTTTGACAGGGGTTGCCGCCGGTTTAGAAATTCGAATTTAATTTAATTTGTTAAACGAAGTATTTTTTAAAATAATTTTTAAAGATACTTTATATCGAAAATATTTTTTCAAGAGATTTGCCACCTGTTTTGATATTAAAATTGAAAAGTTAAATGAAATATTTTGATACGAGTGTCAAACAAGAAGAAAGCTTTATTTCCAAAATATATTTTAAAATGGCTGCCACCTATTTAAAAAATCGAAATCAAGTTAAATAAAAGTTAAATGAAATATTTTTATATGCGTGCTTTTATTTTAAAATATTTTTGATCAGGGAAGCCTTTTAATGTACATACATATAGTGACTCAAACAAATTACCACGTTACCTTTACATCACCATATCCAACGAGGAAAATACTAAATATGATCGCAAAAAATTTGTTAAAAATTTTAATGTTTCAACAATAGTTTTTATTATTATGTTTACATCTGTTACAGTCTCTTTTGGATCGCATTTTTCTGAATTGTTTATAAATAATTAGTTAGCTTCATCGCTTCTATATTTATGTATATACATACATCATATATCATATATATATCGTATATCTTATGTAGCTATTAATTTTAATTTATCTATGTACATGTTTATGTGAACAGTTTTTGGTAATCCACACTCTAATTTTAGCGCGACCAATTTATCACCGGTACTCTGCATACCGTCCTCTCTTTGGATGCCACACTCGGTTCCCATCCGATTATACAAACTGTAGCGAATCCCGATCAAATTACTGAAATATTTGATACCATCACCTACTCGAAGGGTTCATCCATAATCCGGATGTTGGAAGATTTTATTGGCGCTGAAAACTTTCAAAAGGCTGTTACGAATTACTTGAATGAGTACAAATATAGTAATGCTGTGACGGATAACTTTTTAACAGAAATCGACAAATTAAATTTGGGCATTGATGTAAAATCGATTATGAATACTTGGACGGAACAAATGGGTTTACCAGTAGTCGAGGTAGAAGAATTAAGCGATACAAGATTTAGACTTACACAAAGACGTTTCTTCTCCAATCCGGATGATTACGAAAGCATCTACGATGATTCACCGTTTAAGTGAGTGGTGAAATTGAAAGCACAAAATCAAACGGTAAACATTTAAAGTATTTATTTATCTAATTTTTATTTTCCAGTTATACTTGGTCAATACCGATTACTTACAAGACAAATGCAACGGTTGATGAGACGAGAGCTTGGTTCTACTATAATCAAACCGAATGTAGGGCATATGCGATTTTGCATTCACTACAAATATATATAAATTGATAAAATGTAATTAATTTCAATTACAGTAATTATTGAATTGACAACTGCACCTGAATGGATTAAATTCAATTACGATCAGATTGGCTACTATCGTGTTAACTATCCTGAAACTTTGTGGCTAAAGTTAGCGAATCAACTTATAACGGAACCTACTGTAAGTTCAACAAATGTGTTTTTATTTTTATATTCTGATCGCATAACGATCGTTTGTGACGGCCTAAAGAAATCGAGATAATATAGACATTATGAACATAGAATTCGATTAAGCGATGATTTTCTGCCCACCCGTGCCTACGATAACTCGAGCAAAAACTGAGCTATCTACCAAAGGTGGGTTAATATTGAAAACGGGCTGAATTGGATAAAAACCAGGCCCACCTCCACTTTAACTGCATATTTGAAAGAGTCAAACACTTCCAAAAAATCATCCAAAATTTTAATAACGAACAATTTTAAGGAATTGAAAATTTACAAAATAATTCTGGCAACTGCATGAAAAAACCATTTGCTCATTGTTCTATTTGATCCTGAACTAAATTTGAAGTTGCCTTAACAATTTAAAAGCATTCAGAACTTTTTTCAATTGCTCTCCTAGTGAGAGAAGCGCAACAACGACAACAACGAAGAACTACATAGATATGAGAGAATTCTGGATTCTGTAACTGTGAGAAAATGCAGTGTACGCTGAGTGCAAAACTCACAACCAAAAACTCAGAGAAAAATGCTGCGAGTTTTTCGGCAGAGAAGTGTGTTTTGAGGTTTAAAACTCATTCTAACACTTGCTGAATCGCAAAATGAGAAGTGTACACAATTTTCAGTGTCTTTAAAACCTACAGTTACAGAATCCAGCCCCTGTATACTGATTTAAGAAATTTTGATAGAAGAATATTTCTTTTCCATTTCTTGTGCGTCATTTTGTATATACGCATTTTTCGCTTTTGCTGAGAGCTACAGACAGCCCTTAAAACAATAAAAATATACTTTTTTTGAATAATATAAAATACATATCTAACAGTTAAAAGAAAAAAATTAGAGATAATTTCAAATCCTATGAAATTAAAAAAAGTCTAACCAATAAAATTGAAAATATTAAATTAAAAAAAAAAACAAAAATAAATAAATTTAAAGTTATGTGTCCTCAACTTCATTGGCTAATTTTTTTTTTTCAAAACTAATAATGTCATCAATGCATAAAATGAACCATAACATTATATTAACTATGTTCGAGACAGCCGCTATGCACGAAATATTTTGATAGTTTGTCTAAAATTGGGAAACGAGAACATCAACTCACAGAGGCGGGTGACATCGTTGTCGCACCCGTCCCTCTAGGGAAACCGAAAATCTCTTGTGTAAATTATATATTTAAGTTTTGTACTTTATTAGTTTCGTCTTAAACTGATATCGGAATTCAGATGTTAACAGTTTGAAACTGGTCAAATTAAAGGTTAAAGAGAAATTAATTAAAGTTTAAAGTTTGAGGAAAATATAGTTCAAATGTCCCACGCGTCACAATGACTGAATCGCAAACAAAAAAAAAAAAACAAATTAAACAAATTAAAGAATCTCATAATGAATCGTAAAATCCCACGCGCCCTTTTATGGTGCGAAAATCCCAAATTATGGGTGTTGGCAATACTGATAATAAATGCATTCTATCAAAAGAGCTTTCAATCTTGATAGTTGGCTTTATTGTAACACTTTTGTGCCAGAATATGGTGAGACTAAATTTTATGAGATCTGCTATTTAGAAAAAAAAAATTGGATTTTTTTAAATTTAATTTTGAGAAAAGGGCTGTGAACCGCCTTTTAATAAAATTTGTGTATCTCTGATTTTGCCATTCTGAATAGATTTTTTCTACGATACCACGCATTGAAGTTTTACTCCTCCGTGCTGAACTATTAAGAGTCTCTGAGGAATATTGTCAGGCAAGTTAGGTCATCAAAGACTATAGACACAAAGTGCCGCAACCTGCTCTTAACAATTTTCAGCGATACTCTGCATTTTTCGCCTCATAATTTTGCAGCATCTACGAAATGATATTTCGAGGCGTTCTCGAAGCTCGAAGAGTACACATTTTGATGCCACGCTTGCTAAAAGATTCGACAGGACGTGCCTTTTAATAACCTTTTATTAGACCATGCATCATAGAACAATCCTTACCCAGGCAGCTTGAAAATGGCAAAAGCCATACCAATTGAGGTTAGGGTTTCACTAATTTCCCATTTAACAACGAGCCATTAAAGAATTTCAATACTACAATGCTGCATTACACCGATCCGTGCTGCCCGGATGAAACCAATGCCCAACTAGATACAGTGGCAGAATTTGTAACATGCATTCTTTAAGTAGAATGTTGTAGAAACGAGCTGTAACTATACAATGTTCAATATATTTTCTCTGAAAAATTCAGACAGAAGGACGCAAAATCAAGCAGAGCTTAGGTGACGAATCAAAGAAGTCTCTTTGTATTCCTGGAGGGATGAAAGAGGAAATTTTAAAATGCTAAGCTTGCATGAGCGTAGAAAGGGTTCTGGGTTCAAGGTTGAGGTGGCAATCTACCAGAAGATACATACATAAGTATTAGGGTGGAGCGAAAAAAAATTTCTCTACTTGGGTAACATGACCACATTGAACTGTATTAAAGCGTTTTCCGATCGGATAACATTTATTGTCGCCCAGGGAGCTTTCAAAATATCTCTCAACGTATGGTTCTTTTATACTTGTTTTTTAAGATTTTCTAGAAAGATTTTGTGTATGTAGTGTTGTAGGCGATTAAGTTGCCAAAAATCTACGCGATTTTTTGACAAAATGAAACTTGAACTTTTCCATACTAAAATTTAATGATTTAATGGGTGCAAAACAGCATGCTCAAAATTTGCTTACAAAATCTTAAAAAAAAGTATACAAGAATCATAATTTGTGAGATTTTTCGAAACTTTTAGGTTCTCGGGACAATGTAAATCTGCTTTATCCTGAGTTTCGCCTGAAAAAAAATTCACCCGAAAATTTGTCATCCGCCCATTAGTAAAACCATGGAAGCCAAAAGTGAAAAGTGTACCGGTTCGGGAAAAATGAAACTCATGATAAGGCTGAATATCATCCGATAGGAAACGGTTTAACGCGGTGCAATGTGTTTTTTTTTTTAAATCAAAAAGTGACTTTTTCGCTTCACCCTAATACATATGTAGTAGATATCACACTTTCTTCTAATAACAATCCACTTGCGTCGTATCGAAAAATAATAACATTTTGGAGCCATACTTCGTTCCTTTCCGCTCATTAATTGATATAAATAGAGTAGTATGTATGTATCCAATACAAATGCACAGTTCCTAAATTTGTACCATCTTTTTTCCTCCCTACCTATTTAGAAATTTTCAGTTGGTGATCGCGCTGGTCTCTTAAATGATGCCTTCTCGCTAGCCGATGCCACGCAGCTCTCTTACGACACAGCCTTCGACATGACGGAATATTTGGCAAAGGAAACCGAATATGTGCCCTGGAGTGTGGCGGCATCGAAGCTCACCTCACTCAAACGTTCGCTTATGTTCACCGAAGTTTATGGCAATTACAACCAGTATTCACGCAATTTAATAAAGCCAATCTATGAACAAGTTACGTGGACAGTAGGTGCTGATCATTTACAAAAGTAGGTTTGAAAATAATGGTAGAATAGTGTTTTTTTTTAATAAAATAAAATAATAAACAACTTTGCCTAGCCTCTTGCGTGTTACTATCTTATCGGCTGCTTGCTCCCTCGGTGTGGAGGAATGCCTAACAGAAGCAGCAACACGCTTTAATGCATGGCTTGGTACTCCAGATGTGCGCCCACATCCAGACATTCGTCAAACAGTCTACTACTATGGGGCATACGCCGCTAATGAGCAGTCTTGGAACAAGATGTGGGAACTCTTCGTGAACGAGTCTGATGCCAGTGAGAAATCGAAATTAATGTACGGCCTGTCGGCCGTGCAAGTGCCATGGATTTTGAGCAAGTAAGTGTGAATTTTATTAAATAATTCTTTTTTTTTTAAGCTCCTCCTTACTTTGGTATTCGTGAATCGTTGCAGCTATATCAATCTCGCCTGGGATGAAAATAATGTGCGCAGTCAAGATTATTTCACTTGTTTGCAATATATCGCCGCCAACCCGGTTGGTGAACCAATCGTCTGGGATTATGTGCGCGAACATTGGCCCGATTTAGTGGACCGTTTCGGTTTGAATGAACGTTACTTGGGTAATATGATTCCTTCAATTACGTCGCGCTTCGACAAACAAACCAAGTTGGAAGAAATGGAGCAATTCTTTGCTAAATATCCGGAGGCCGGCGCTGGTGCAGCGGCACGTGTGCGCGCTTTGGAGACAGTGAAGAATAACATAGCTTGGTTGGCAAACAATAAGGAAAACGTTGGAGCGTGGCTGACTGAGCATTCCACGTCATAGAATATGAACAAAATATATTTAATAAATAGCTTGCCATCTGGAGTGCATTGAAAGTAAATTATACATTTATTTAATAAAATGTTAAATTCAGTTCACAGACTATTTTTGGCTTTTATGTTCTCAATGCTTAGCTTGTTCCCAGCTAGATCCCACTTAAAATATATAATACGAAAGCCAATACGATGCCTGGGCTGAAAAATAAGGAGGGTGAAAGGGTTAAAGAAGCAAGAGTGGAATTTTACACTCGCAACGACTTTTCGGAAAAACGTTCAATCTTATGATACGGTTCCCTGGTCTGATGTGTAGGTAGCGTATATAATCATATAAAGCTACGAGGAGTCCAGAGAGTCTTTATTCATCCGACTGACTTTGCAAGTTTTTTGATGTCGCTGAGGGGAGTCACCTTTAAAAACGTATTGGCATACGCCACCACCTAGGTCATCTTGATGTGCGTCTTCGTATTTGTTTTCGTTTTCGTCCTAGATTTCATCTTCGCCGTCGTATTCGAATTCGTCTCTGAACGCATCTTCCTATTTACCTTAGGTTGCTCGACGTAATCGTGTACGGTCTCGTGTTCGGATTCATCTTAATCTTCGTATTCGTCATCAAATTTATTTTCGTATTCGTGTTTTTCTTTTTTCACCTCCTATTCGTAAACCGTATTTGCGTTCATATTTTTTTAATTTTAATCGAAGTAGATACATGTCCTAGCATTTTCCAACTCGTCGATGCATTTTACTTCGAACTCGTGTTCATCTTAGTCGTTGCACTGGTCTTCAATTCGTCTTCGGTTGCTCTTCGTATTCTTCTTCGTGTTAAAAAACAAGCAGCAGTAAAAAATAATATACCGTTAGCAATGCAAATACAACTAGTATTTAAGAACACGCAACAACTTTACGCAAATACGGAAATTTTGTCACATTGATTTCAACCGTAATTTGAAACCATAAAAATTCACCAGAAAAATACATTTCCAAGTATGTTTTTGGTTTTAAAATCGGTCCAGTAGAACCACAAAGTAAAGCCCGACAAAATTTATGTTAGCCTATTAATAGAATACTTTTTTTTTTTAAATAATATACATATTTACAAATTAATTGTTGTATAATTTATTATTTGATTGCGCAGCTTTTTTATATGTACATATGTACGTCAATGTGGCTGGCTTGAATGGCTCATTAAATTGTTTACTGGGTTCGGTTCTTGTAAGCAATAAGCAAACAAACGTTACAGCGGCGCCTAAAAGTGCACCACGAAAATTGATAAGCTACTACAAATAGCTGGCTTAAAGCGTAACCTAATTATTTCCTATTGGTACACTATGTGTGTAGTGGCAAAAATTCGTGCATAAGGTGAAGTCTTATTTAGTTATTTTGCTAGAAGAAGGTAATCCTCAGAAACTTGGTACCTGTTTATTTTTCTATTGGAAAATCAGTTTGAAGCCAAAAGAAAGCGTTGTAGATGGATAAAACCGTTGTATCACTACCTACATATGTATGTACATTAGACTGCATCACTGCCCATCAAAAAAAAATCAAAAAATTGGAATTACAAAATCTATTATATTTTAAGCCTTCCACCAAAATACTTCGATTACGATATTGAAACTTACGTGAGCTGGACCGATTTGAAAATACCTTCAAAACAGGAGTTTTTTACGAATCCAAATAGTTTCTTAAATACTTTTTTCTTAATACCCTCAAATCACAAAATGGTTTAAGCTTACAAAACTGCATAAAAATATTTAAAAGAAATTTAAAAAAAATTTCAACGGACTCGTAATAACGAAATTTTTGATGCTGTTACTTAACTTTTACAAAGATTAGTATAAGAAAAACTTGAATAACTTGAATATAACCTAAACTATGCCGATTTAAACTTGCGAGGTATCATTGGAAAGGTATTTTCTTACCCTTTTTATTTTATTTTTGCTAATAAGCTCACTCAAAGGGTGACAGAGAAAGATAGGATGAACGAGCGTCATTCCAAGTTAAATTAAGATGTGTTGGTATTTGAAAAAAAATATTGGGACCGATTTTGTTTTTTGCACAGAAATAAAAAGGTAGTTATGCTCGTATAAAATATTTTTAAAGCTGATTATTTAAAGACCTAACTGACGTCATTATTAACTTTCTCTTTTCTTTTCGAAACAAGTTTCGTTTGATGTATTGTGAAACAATATTCCGTCATTCTTTGTCAAGTTTGGTTTCGGCGATGTGACATCTTCAGTGTCATTTTTCGTTCTGGAAATTTGACAAGGGATGACTAAAAATCCCTGTCTGATACACCAACAACGAAAGTGAATTTTGTTTTCATGGGCTGTTCATTTAAACATTTTAGCTTCCATTTCTTTGAAGTAAGCTGCTATTTTATATATTAAATCTGGACGATGTGCAGTGGTCCGAGAGTGGCAGAGAGATCTAATTTCGAAATGTGTGGAAATATCCAACTAAGTTTTTGACTTGATTCTAAACATGTTTACTCACAGGTTTTAAGGATTTTTTCCAGAGAAAAACTACTCTAGCATTTTTATCAAAGGACATAGGAAGCGGTGTTGTATGAATTGTTTTTAGCGTCGCTGATCTACACATTTGATGTCAAGGGCAACCACCCTAAGCAGATCACTTATATATAAATATGTATGTATTTACGAAAATATCAAACAGGGCATTTGCCACTGCAAAAAAATTGGGCTTAAATAATTTAACCCTCTAACAGTTAAGAGTGCCTCAGCGTACCAAATCTTTTTTTTTTTAATTTTTTTCACCACTGATTTTAGTTGTTTTCATCTAAAAGCTTTCAAATATCTTTCTGGTCGTTTAGAGTTTATGATCCCGTTAATTGTGAGATATCTTATTTTTAACAACAAATAAGTGTTTTTGCGAATGAGTTCGTTGCTCAATAAATGAAACGCGTTTCCAGTTTTAGATAGCAGTGAGCAATTTTTATTTTTTTGTTCAAAAAGAGTAGTATTGCCAACCAATCTATAAACTTTCATGGACAAAATTAGTGGAAGTGAAAGTTTTGAAAGCAAAAAAAAAAAAACAGTGAAGTGTCTCAAGGAACTGTTGGGGCTTACAGTATATATTTCTTGTATGGATGTTCTTGTTCTTGGTCGCTATTTTACACTAGATTATGTGGATTTTTAATTTTATTTTTGATAGGTAGAAAATTGATTGAGGGATCAAAAATTCAGGGTTTTTGTGCAAAACTAAATATGCATTTGTGCTGCTCAAAGGCCGAAAACTGTTTTTTTAAGTATCATAATCTTGTTCAGAAATTAATGTAAACATTTAATTGTAATCAACTTTATTTAAAACTTTCTTCAATGAAAAATGAAAAATAAATCATCAACATATTTTGTCTATATTTTTGTCAGCTAAAGCACAAACAGTGCCCTGAGGCACCTAACGAATAAGAAACAAAGTGAAATTAAATTTGAATGCCTAATTTGAACTTATCGGACCGAAATTAGTCTAGAAAAAATGTTCCGTTATTTTTTTTCCTTATTATAGAAATTAGTGACAGAGGGTATAAGTCTTGTGCCCCTTATAGCCTTTCAAAATTATATCACATGCATACATATGGATATGTTTTATGAATTGATTGCAAAAAGATAATAATTTATGTATTATTTACGAAATTCCGTGCGTGCAGACCAGTCGATCGATAGTGTCCAATAATGCCTGTTTATCCAAATGCATTCATAAAATGATAATAAAATTACTGAAAATTGAAAGAAAAAATAATTAAGTTACACATACAGGCAGGTGTCTTGAATAAGCTACCTACAAGTATACAATATACTCAGTATTGGATATTCATACATATATTCAAAGTAGGCAAGAACGAGGCCTCAGTAAAATACTTAAATTAGTTCGGCAGGGTCGCTCCACCGAACAAGTCTAACCACTGAACATTTTGTAATATCTCATACAAAAAATATCCTGCCTGCTGAACAATATGATATGTAAGTGTGAAAAAAGGATATTTCGTATACTAAAAAAAAATAAAACTTGTTTCTCACAACTCATTTTAATTTTTGTTTATCTCTTCAAGTGCTGACCGTCAAAAATCTGGCAATTTTCTTTGCCTTGGCCACGACAGCTTTTTGTGTTTCCACCATTGTTTTGGCTGTGGAAAAAGCTCAATTAGAGGATGAATTACAAGATGCTTTGGATAAATTAGATGCCATATCAACGGTCCCAACTACGGCGACACCCAGTGCAACAACGCAGACAACGGCAGCAACTGTAATTGCAACCACTGAGTCGACACCAACTCCACCAACAGCCGCTTCAACGGCAAGTACTGCCACAACCGTAACTGTAGCATCAACAGTTGTTACGGCCTCCACAGAGACGACGCGCACAACACAGGGCGTTGCAGTGCCAACAATTACCATTACCAGTACCGAGGTAACACCTGTGACATCGAATCCCAACTATCCAACACTACCAACAGGATTGCCAGATCCAGAAGAGGTAAGTCGAATTAGGAAGTTTTTATTTTATAAAGGTTTAATTGAGAGCATTAAGGCGCTTTCACCATTAGAAATAGCTATTAGGCATTCTTCATTAACTGAAGCCCCTGTTTATCCAAAATTGGCTCGGGTAAAAAAATCCGCTATGGTCTGGAAAAAGGTTTACTTTGAGTGCGATTCTTTTGAATTCCAATAATTTTGAAAAATGACTGGATTCATTTGAAACTTTTTATTCGGGGGTTTCTCCAGACCTATCTCTGCATGTCTCTAAACAAATTGACCATCAAAAACTGAAACACAATGACTTCATTTATTTAATTTAATTAATTCAATATTTCTTATTTTATTTTATTTTAGTTATTTTGATTTATTTTACTTGATTATTTAATTTTCTAGGATTTTGGTAGTTATACCACTCTGGGCCGTTAAATTATAAAATCAACTTAACTACAGAAAATTATATAGACAATTCTGTAACTAAGTTTAACTAATGATTTAACTATATCTTAGAATAAATAAGTTAACGGCCCTCTAAATTTTTTAAACCCCTCATTTTTCAGTATCCAAATTTAGTGGCAGAGCAAAGACTTTATCTAAAAGGGTATAAAGGTATTTACTTCTACCAAGTAGAGTAATAGGTCGAAGAAATTCCGGGTTGTGCACATGCCACACTGTTTTCCTCAGATTGCTCCAAAATAATATAAATACAACGAAAAAAATGTTTTAATATACCACGCTTTTATAAATAGACTAAATAGACTAAAAATTATAAATTAATATTTCTCAGTCACATAGAATTTGTTTTGGTAACTTTTGATTTTAAAATTTAGCAAAAGTCATTATAAACCATTTATGCGATTGAAAACGAAAAACGTGGAGCGCATGTAATACAAAGCATTAGGCTTAATTGACAGTAGTCAAACTACATAACATAGTTATTTATATATCCACATGCATACATATATTAACCCTTCATATCAATTCAGGTCTATTACATGTGCCCCACACTTTTAATTTTCAATTTCATAAATTGTTTATAATAACTTTGGCTACAATTTCAAAATCAAAAGTTATCAAAAAAAATTCTACGGGACTGAGAAATATTGTTTTCTAATTTTTAGTCCATTTATAAAATCGTAGTATATTAATATTTTTTTTTTATTTTGTTTATAGATATTAAAAAAATTAAATTTGCAGTGAAAATATTTTGTGCTCACATACGAGTATAGCAGCAATTAATTTCATTTATAGAAATGGCGCGTCGTCCATTTTCGCTGTAGCGTATGTAGCGCATATTTTTGTATCAATATAAATATCGATCACTAATATCGATTAGTATATCGATAACAATGTCGGTAAATATATCAATAAAAATATCGACTAGTAAATCGATAGCAACATCGATAAATTTTTCGATGAAAATATCGATAACAGCATCGATTATTATACAGATAAATATATCGATATCAAGATCGAGAAATATTACGAAAGTTTCGAAGTAGACCCGAAAATAATGAAATAGTTCCGAGAATCCCGAAGTAGTCTTGAAAATCTCGAAATCGTCCTGATTAATTTTTTCTAAGTCATGGAGTATTTAGTTTGTAAGCATTTAGCCGTGTAATAAATACCTTTGTACTTTAGTTAAAGTATTTTGCATCTCCACTTTAATTTAGCATCTAACAGCTCCTAAATGGCAAAGTATTTTTTACTTTGGTACTTAAAACTCACATAAAAACGATTAAAAATTATAGAAAAAATAAAAATCATAAAATAACGATTAAAGATGATCAAACAAATAAAAAGCACATAATAAGGATTAAAAATGATAGAAAAAATAAAAATCATAAAATAACGATAAAAAATAATCGAAAAAAATAAAAATCACAAAATAACAATTAATTTATGATTTTTATTATATTATCGTAGCAGAAAGCATGCAAGAGAGTATAATTCGGCGTTATTTTCATCAGCATGTACATATACATATGAACATTAATAGAACATTTTCTAAAGAACCAGACATCAGATCGAAATATATTTATTTATATCTGCAATAAACCAAACTAAAAAATTACTTCATTGAAATGCTTAACCCTTGCATGCTACCGAATACGAATAATACCTTAACCGTCTAAGTAATGAAACCGTCCCTCGACTTTTACTCCATTTCAAGAGGTTAAAAATGGCTCTGAAATAGGTTTTGAGGAAATTGTTAAAAATTCCGAATCAATGTAAATTTATAAATTGAGCTTCCCTTTAACTAACTTTAGCGGTTCCGGTATGCTCATTATTTTAGGGGTGTATGAGAAAAATTAGAACCATTCGGGGTTTTTTTAGAAATGCACGATTTGAAATATGAAAATATGAAAATTCGACCAATCTCTTTTTTAAATGAATACGTAGGAATCAGGTATGTTGCGAATATTTGCATACGCATTCGTTATGCGAATGATTCGCATCACATTACACATTCGTATTTGACATTCGCATTCGCATCAAATGATACGAATGTTTTGCGAATGCGAATGTGTACATGGGCAGAGAGCCCACTCTAATATTTTTGAAATGGCTCTAAAACTATGTTCACATATCAATATTATCTCAATCAAAGCTCGTTTTTTAATCACCCCGTTTACACAGGCAAATCTCAGATTATTAGCCGTCAAATTGGTTGTGCTTGTTATTCTCACATCTCAAGGAAAAGTTATGTTTCTTCTCTGTGCCACCGTGATCACGTTTTTCTGCTATAATAAGCAATATAAATATATTTTTACTTAACATTTTATTAAAAATACCTTTACAAACCTCTTTTCCTTGCTAGCGTAAATTGGCATACATATGGCTAATCTCTTGTTATAATTACAGATTAGGGCGTTAAGCTCGAAAATGAGGATAATCTACTTATATATGAACCTAGTATATGTCTGTCTAGCGCTATACGGTTAAGTAGTATATCAAGCAACATTGATGAGTACTTATAAGCAACCTAGAAATAATTGTAGATTCTTCCAGCGAAAGCGAAGGCTCGGATATAGAATCTGGAGACATTAGAAAATGTGAAATGAAAGATCAATTGAAAACCTCTCTATTGGTGGAAAACTAAACTAAAATACGACAAATTGACAGATCTGGCCCGCAAATATTTGAGCGCTCCATCCGCCAGCGTTCCAAGTGAGCAATTGTTCAGAGCAGCCGGCTTTATATCCGAGCCTCTAAGAAATCGCCTAATGGAAGAAAGGGCAGCAAAATTACTTTTTTTTTAAATATAATATGCCCCTTATGAACTTTGATTACTAGATTAAAACATTGTATAGGTTAAGCACATAAATTTTAAGTAATGAAAACGATGACTTAAGTTGATTATAGCTTTTTTAATGTTATTCTTAACATTCGCGAATGTGTAAAATATGACATTCGAAACATCCCTAGTAAGAATGAATATTTTTTTCAACTTGGGAAGCATTATTAGCAAAATTTTCCAAAGCAATAAATTTTGGATTCCCGCAAGTGGTAAAGGCCTCCTATCAAATGTGACGATGACAGTGTATTTAAACTTTGTTGGTAGGCCTTAACAAAATATCCTTAATATACATATATACATATGTATGTATGTACATATCTCATAAATGTGCTCATGAATTGGAAAATCATTACCAAGCCTGTCAATGCTTGTAGTAAAGCACTTGAGATAAAGCTTTAGTGGTCAGCTACACAAGTACTTAAACTTGTTGTTGTTGATAAGCTGTTATGAAAGCAATTATGGTTTTTATCAAATTAGACAATTATTAGCGGCCGCCTCAATAAAGATACCCAGCAAGTATAAATATACGATATATACTTAGTACACAAATACATACATGCATATGTAGAAAAGTAGATTTTATCAAACTTTTCGATACATTGCGAAGGTATAATAAAAGAACTTTAGATAAATGACTGTTAATTTTATAAGATTGTAAAAAAAATTCATCGATTGAAAAGAGAAAATTTTAGTAACATCAATTAGTTGCTTGATACCACTTCAAACTGACAGCTGATTTCGACTTTAAAGGCCAAAATGTTCGCCAGAATATCGGGTATTACTACTTTGGACTGCTGTTAAAAAATTTCTTATCTAATGAAAACGTACATTTTTCAGAATTTCTAACAGCACGTAGGATTGCTATTGCACTTGGTTTAACAACAATTATTTTAACTGTTGTTTTGGTCATTGTAGCCGTTGATGATAGCGTTAAAGCAACAAAGCTAAAAGAAGCTGAAGAGAAGTTGGATGTTTTAGATAAACTTTTGGAATCTTTAATCAATCCGACAACCAATGCGACATCAACAACCTCAGTGATATCAACAACAACAACAACAACAGACAGCGGCTTTTAAAACATTCAATGTTGTGAACAGTGTTAATAATTTTTATTGTAGTAGATATCGGCAGGAAAATTTCTGATAAGTAATATGTCTTTCCGTTGTTTGTGTTAATTTGTTTATGACTAATGACGTTAGCTGAATAAACGGTGCAACAATTTCAGTTGCTATTAATGATTGTAGATAAAATGGTTTAGTACTTTATCTGGACTGACTGCCAGCACCAACAAATTTTTGTTGTATAGACTTTGGATACCTATTGCAAAAACACTTTTGACAGCAGACAGTAACCATGCCCTTATCCCATATAACGGTAATTTGGAGAAATACGGAGTCTTCGATAAATGAATAATTACAGAAGCTAATTTATTCAAAACTGATGTTTGCAATAACTTCTTATGACCACTTGTGTATATCCCGGTAATTGTTCCATCGATTTGTACCAATACAATTATTGTACTTGACACGAAAAAGCAAAACATTGAAAATGATTGTAATCGGACTAAAATTAGGTCCACTTTTCGTATAGCGGTATATGAGATATTCTTTTTCATATCGTGGAATCGTATATGAGGCATTCTTTTTCAAGTTGTGGAACAAATATTGTTAACGAAGTGATATTCTTCCAAAATCCGCAATAAAATGTGCATTTTGTTAACTTTAGTCCTGCAATTGCTACACCCATTTCTAGGGGTTTGTCGCCTTAAAGAAAATTTTGCCATACAAATAATATATCTGAATAGGTATGCTATCGCAATCCGTAATAAAATTTTCCATTTTGCAAAAACTCGATGTTTAACACCTTACTAAAACAAAAGTTTTCGAAAGCAAACTACGAATAATTGTTGATGCTCACAAAATAAACCATTTCGTCCTAAGGAAATTTTTTTTAAAATCCCTAATTTACTTGTCTTCACTATGCAAGTCAACTTAAAGAAGTTCAACTGTTGTTAGCTAAGTTAGCTTTAGGAAAATCTTGTGTTAAGCCCGTTTCTTTACCTTTAAAACGACGTTAAGGTGAAGTCTCAAGGATGCGCAGAACCTGAGACATAATGATTTGAAGTAGTAAATGATTAGTTAGAATCACGAAAAAATTCAAACTTTGACGTATATCTCCGAAGAAAAAATGTAAAAAAAAATTTCCTCGAGCACGTGTTAGCTTATTTCCTGTATACAATCCATCGAACCGGAGACATGACCCAATTTTTTTTACGAAATTCGTCCGACTTAAAAAAGAATGGCTCAGATTTCAGAAATTCTTAAACCTCAATATTTCGAAATTTAATGACGCAAGTTTACTCAAAATGTGTACTCCAAAAATGCCTTGAGAAGAAGTAAGATTATTGTGGAATTTTGGTAAATAAGGGTGTTACCGCCCACTTATAACTACATACATATTTATATACGTTTATCTCACTAAGTCTAACTGAAAATACCATCGAAGATATCTGAAGTATGGGTAAAACCGTCCCTGCTAACCTTGCAACGGTAGTTTTCGGAAAGACGAAAATGCTTTTAATAATTAATAATTATTAATTTAATACGTTCGCTCGGTATTTAATATTCGGCTTCGCCCAAACTTAGTCTTTTTACTTTTTCATTTTTGTTATTGGTCTATCTTAATTACGAAAGGCATATGTGAAGTGGAGAGCAAAATCGTAAAAAATAAGTCCGTCTATGAGCTGTTTTCCCGAAAGTGGAAACGAAATGCTTTGCAATTGCGGCCATATGGTCTTATTTATATTTTTTTTGGAAATAAAACCATATGTTATTTCCAATCTAGAAGTAAAGTCATATTCAAAATTGTGCAAAAGGGAAAACAAAGTCATAATTAAAATTACAACCTTTTCAACTAAAATACATGTCTGGCCACACTGTTTGTGGATCACACATATCTTTCTATTGGTTGACCGTGGGCGTGATTCTTTATTATTCAGTCCGGATCTAGAAGAGAATAGTCGTGTGGTTTATCAGAAAAAAAAAATCAATTCAGATCAAAATTATCAGAAAAAAATTAAAAGAATGTGTTCGGGAACAATGTTCTAAAGAATAAGTGAACAGAAAAATGTATTCCGGATGTTCGGAATGTGAATAAAGAAACTCTCGCCGTGTGTTAACATTGTTACGGTAATTTTTTAGTTTACGGACACTTGTGAAAAGCATTGGTAATCATCAAATTATTTCGGCAAAAAGCGGCAATCAAATATGTATACGCATTTTAAGACCCAAGTATTACGAATTCGGGAACGGATATTAACTATTTCTTTTGATAATATTTCAAAAGTTGTCTGTAGAAAATACGTTCCGAATATTATTTAGAATCCTCCTACTGGCAGCACCTTTAAATCATAAAAACTAACAACCTTTCTTAAAAACTATTTTGAGTACCAATAATTAAAGTAATTATGATTTATGTAAGTTTTTAAAATTCGGGTGTGCTTAATGTGACCAACTATTTCATAGCTCAAAGGAGTACAGAAACTGAAAACCAAAATTAGTATGAAAGTAATGAGAAAATGGTAAAAGCGGAATATACAAAAACGGTAACAGTGTACAAATTCAACAAATAAATTTTAGTAATTAGAAATCTATACTTTTTATTATTATAAGACAAGGCGCCTAATCCCAGTGATCTACTGATCGTACAGAGACAAGTCATGTATCAAATTAAAGTGCTCGATCTGAAACTTTGCACGAACATTTCAGATTTAAATGTCATTAGACCACTTTTGAAATATTTCCATGGACAATTTTTTTAAAGTTTTACATTATACAATATTTTTTCAGGTCCTTTATCGCTTACCAACTGAAATCAGACCTGTAAAATATCGACTCTATTGGGAGCCGAAATTCGAAACGAACACTTGCGAAGGCTATGTAACCGTACAGATAGAGGTTGACGTGGAAACTAATTTAATAGTTATGCATGCCAAGGATCTGGACATTGAAGGCATCAGTATTTTGAATGTCATGGCCTATCTACGTATTACCGTTAAGTCATTCTATTTGAGTCCAGAACGTGAAATGCTCTTCATCGTATTGGGGGAATTGTTGCGCACGAGTACACCATATGTGGTCAACATCGAATTTACATGCCAATTGACTGGACTAAATGGCATGTACTCAAGTCTATACACTAATGAGGAAAATGCGGAAAGGTGAGTTGAATATGTTTTAAATGTAAGTTTACACTCTGTTAACGGTTCGTATTAGAGAGAGAGTTATTCCTACAACCTAGAAATCTGTGTCTCTAGTTGATGACTCTTTTCGCCGAAAATAATTTATTCAGCTATTATTTTGTATATTTAGAGAAGTTCCGAACTTCAATGGCTGTAGCTCTAGCTATACATGAGAGAAGATATGGTAAGATAAATGCATCGGTATGACAGAACCAAGACACAACACGCCTTAAAAGGAGTTTTGTGTCTCTAAAAATTGTACTTAACCCAGTATGCCAAATATACCCTCGGCTACCCTAATGAATCCCATAAGGGCCCTGGCAATCGAGTTCATTATTACTAAGGCATGGACGATTGGATATTTGAAATAAATTGCTCTTTATCTAACCAAGGCTGGACAGTCAAGCAGAATGTGTTCGGATGTTTCCTCATCCTCAAGAGATAGCCGGCATTTCGACTCCCCTATAATACCTTTTCGATGCATTATTGAACCGGGATTTTGATCCGGTTCAACAGTTGGGGAATTAAACAACCCTAAGCCTTCATAAAAAGTGGTTTCGCTGTCGGTTCGGATCAAACATTTGTAGAAAACTTTGGTTCGGTTATTAGTTCAGTTACTTAGTAGAAAAAAGTGTTTAATCCGGTTCACTTTCCTGTGAAAAGAAAATGCTGTCTAGAGGCAGCCTTAGAATCCAGACGATAGACCCACTACAGAGTAAATAAATACAGAGTACAGTAAGTACCCTTATCGGATTCGTGGATAACTAGTCTAGCGAAAGAGGACTTACAGATGACGGCCTAATAATATTTACGAGAAAAAATGGTTATTTGTATGCCAATAAAAGGAAATCTTAAGCGTATGAAACCTGGACAACTTTTTCTGGTTACTGAGGGAGCTTCAATATGCAAAACTTAAGCAGAATCGGGAAGAGGACACCACCTTGTGGTACCGCCTGTTAAGAGTTTCGATGTTTTATTCCGGAATATTATTATAAGTTATCCGTTTCAGTGCCGTTAACTTATCAATTTTAAAGTATAGTTAAATCAGGAAGAATACACCATTCGCTGAACCAGACCAAATATACAAATATAGTCTATAGAGAATCCTTTAATCGAGATCAATCGACACCTTCGTCAACACTCGCTTCGTGAATTCCACCATTGGAGTCCAACGCCACCTATCGCAGAAGTTAGAGCTGAGTTGCTACGGGAGGCTGGCTATATTTTTGACTCAACTCCATTTTGGATATTGCAGCAGGTTAAATCGAATTGGAATAAAATGCCCCGACGACGCTATTATTATTATTAGGTCGGGAATAATAGCGCTGTGACCTAAGAAGAATTATTGTGCTGAACCCTAATTGTAGTCAGTCAAACCTTAGGCTATTGAAGAAGTTAAGCACTTTGGAGGGTGCTATGTTTCCAATTTTGGATTTCGTTCTCCAAGGTGTATCAGTCTACGAATGATAATACAAAGTCACAATGAATATGCTATGAGGCTTCCTTCACCAGCCCACAAAACTTGCAGTCCGTTTCTACAGAAAGCCCCATTTTACTCAAATGGTACCTTGCCTTGCAGTGTCCTGTCAGTTAGCCAGGAAGAGTTCTAAGACCCTCCCGGCTAAGTTCAAGGAGTGTTGCGGAGTGCCTCCTTGAAGGAGTTATGAATCTCGTTGATTGTCCCATTCCCTTCTGAGATTTATTTGAGCTCCTAAGCAGTTCAGCAGTGTATTCTTTAAGTGTACCGCATAAAAGCTCGGGGTCATGCAAGCGCATTTGAGCTCTACACTTTGCGATACAGTCAGCCAGTTCGTTACCCTCAAACCCAGTCCCTGAACCCAATACAGCTTTGCGCTATTGTGGGTTCCCAGGTGATTCAGAATGGTTTTGCAGCTGTACGCCTGCACTGGTGCCATTTTAAAAGTCTAACGCCTTTCACGCTGCCTAACTATCCGACATAATATTTATTTTGACCAAATTTTTCCTTCTACGAAGAC